CTTCTTGATTGAGCCCCCACTAATTTGTGGCAATCACATCCCTTCCCATCTCTACCATCCATTGCTGGCAAGACAGAATATTTGAAAAGCTCTCATTACTCTGCCTACTGGCATCGCTAATTAGCTCTTGCCTTGGGCTGGGGTCAGCTTGTTTCCTAAGGTAATTACCACGATGTGGTTCTTTCACTCGCTTCTAGTACATTTTTATGTTAAACATTTTAATCCAGCTGGGATTGATTTATTTACACACACACACACACACACACACACACACACAGAGCAAGTTTAAGACTAATTTAGTCTTTGTGTTTTGTTTTTTTTTTTGCTAGAAATACAATTGAAAAATCATACTTTACCTCGTTTTTCTGAGGTGTCACCATTATCTATGTGAATGTGTATATACACATGTATGCACACATACACTTGTATATATGTTCCTGGACATTCTATTTTGTTCTTTTGAGAGGTCTTATTCTGTTCCAGCATTATATATGATATAGCTTTTATAAAAGTCTGATCACATAACACCTTTGTCTAAAACCTTTAAATTGTCCATTTTCTTTGGGGTAAGTCTGTATAAAGTCCAAACATGTCTTATAAGGCAAATATAGTTGGGCCTTTTAGGTTGCTTTATTATGTGTGTTAGTATCTGTTAGGGCAAAATCCTAATTATTATTTTGTAAATTCTGTTGGCTAATTTTACCTGTTTATTCTTCCATATGTGCTTTAGAGTGGGATTATGATTAGCACTGAGTTAGAAATGGCTGCAGTTAGCATCTTTGAAGTTTTTTCAATCTGTTTGGTGCTGTGAGATGTCTCCTCATACATTCCACACTCCTCTTCTATGTCTGAGTACATCTGTAATTTCCTTTTCTCTTCATATTGGATACCACCCTCTGTCCCCCTGAGTCTTTTGCCTCAGGCAAGGCTACTCCATATTAGGGTCACCCTTTACTTTGTCCTATTTCTAGCCTCCCAGGAAGAATCTTAGGGAAATTGATTTTGCTTCCAGTTCTTAAGAGTAGTGGGGTATCTCCCTGCACTGTACAGCTTCTGTACCACCGCTTTCCTTTATCCAGGGCAGTTCCATTTCAGGCTCAGCCTGTTTTCTATGGCCCCTGCTTTTTCTGGACCCTTGTCTCCATTGTAATGCATTTTTGAAAGATTTTTATCTTTAGGAATCAGATAAGATCAAAACAAAGATCTGATCAAACTAAGCTAGCTCTTAAAAATTTTTTAGTTCATGATGATATTGCTTTCTCAAGATTCTTATACTCAAGGTTGACATTAATCTTTTGCTTTTTAGTGGGAGAATAAACAAACAGTGCTTCTCAACCTTTAATGTGAATACAAATCATCTGGGGATCTTGGTAAAATACAAATCCTGATTCAGTTGGTCTCTGGGGCAAGGCCCAAGATTCTGTATTTTTAGCAAGCTTCCAGGAGATGCCAGTGCATCCTAATCTTTGGACCATCTTCTGAATAATAGGGTTTTAAGACATGTGATCCATACTGCTGACTTCTTGCACTCTGGCTTCCACATCCATAGATGAGGGTGTGGAATTACAGAATCAGATCTCAGTTTGGAAGGAACTCAGTCATCTAATCTGATCATCAATCTAATGCTTGAATCCTCTTTATAATATCCATGCCAGTGGTCATCACATTTTTTGAAACATGGAATCGTATGTATTATTGTGCAACTTCTTTTTCCCGTTTAATAATATCTCTATAGAGATTCAGTAAACTTTGAAATAATTCCTTCTAACATGTTGATAGTTAATAAATAGTTCATTCAACATGTCCTTTGGTGGACATAAGATTGTTTCAAGTTTTTTGACATTTACAAGCAATGCTACATTCTAGTACATATATCTTTCCGCACATATGCAAGCATATCCATTGCCTAGATACCTAGAAGTGGATTTACAATGGAATATGCATGTTTTAAATTTTGATAGATACTGACAAATTGCCCTCTGTAAAGGTTATAGCAATTTATAATCACACCAAGAATGCATCAGAGTACCCATTTTCTGACATCCTCACCACCACTACATGTTATCAATTTAATATTTCTTCTGTGAACTTTTTTATATACATTGCCTTGGTTTTTTTCATCATAATGTTTGTCTTCTTCTTATTGATTTCTAGGAACTCTTTATGTATTCTGAATATGAATCTTTTGCTATATGTGTTGAAGCTATTTTCTCCCAGTTATGTCCTGCTTCCTGCTTTTGCCTCAGTATTTGATCGTTAAATTTGGGTAACAATACCCAACTTGAAAAGTTGAGTAAGAATTACTGAAAATTATATACTAAAGTACATAACAGTGCCTAACATGATAAATGTTATTTTTTATTAATAGCTTGTATATCTTAACTTTCATTATGATTATAATTCCCCGCTGCTTCACTTAGTTCCGATCCTGAGAGCTTACTGTCAATATCTCTCTCTAGTCAGCCTCCTCTTTCATCATGGACTCATATTCTTCCTGCTTACCTTTTCTTGGGTAGATTGAATACACACTCTCAGTACAAGCCCCTTTTTCCTAGATGATACTGGTTAGCTTTATCTCTTTTAGTAATCTCTGCCAGTCCAGCACCTAAAGTTACTGCAACCATGCTTGTTTTCCTTTGCTTTACTTGCATTACCAGCAATTTCAGGAAAAGCGAACATATCCATCTTGACTGATACCAAAGAGATTAATAGGAAAAAAAAAAGAATTACGTAATGAAACTACTTCTTCCAACTTAACTCTGGACTCTTGTTGAATGATATTTGGGACTTAAATAGTTAAGCAAAATCTGATAGGCCAGAGCTTGGAAGCTCTTCAGAGAGAAAGGAGAAGGTCGCCAAAGGATAGCAGTGCTGGGCATGTCTTACAGCATGTTGATGAGCACTGTACACAGTTAAGGACTAACTTCTAGAGAAAAAAATTGCTAACATCTTTTGGGTAAATAGAAGATTTCTAAAATTGTATTTAAGACGCTACGAATATATTCGTTTTAATCATTGCTTACTTAATCTTTGAAAGTTTATCTTTTAAAAAACCTGCTCTGGGATGTTAGAATTATCCTGGTTAATTTATACCTCATATTTTTAATGCATTTATTTTTTTCACATTTTGAAGATTATGCAATGTTGAATTATATAGGCATAATTTTAAAGTATACATTTTATGTTTTATAGTCCCATTGAAATTAAAATTATATTTAATAAGTGTTTAGCATAATATTAAAAAATCAAAATTTGGAAATGGTTATTTTTAATGTAAAGGTTAAACTGTTAAAATGTAATGGGCTTACAAACAAATCTCATTAGTTTTAAAATATGTTCACTCAGCGATTTACTCATAAAACACTGAATGAATGGTTGCTGCGTGCCATTTCTGGGCCTTAGCTATTAAGACTGCAAATATGAGAAGAAATAGATTCAAGGAGCTCATAATCTAATGCTATTAAAATAGGTATAGAGACTAAGAATCTAATCTGAGCAATATAAGAACCGAATATAAAACCAAAAATGGATCCCTCGTAGGTTGAGCCAAGTTCCATACCCCTCTCAGAGATCTGATCTCCTTGAACAATATTACCTTTCGGGGATAGTCAAAGAGATCTAGCAGAGATTGATCACAGGAAGGGATGGAAGAAAGAGGATGCCCCTCAAGTGCTCAAGAGGTGTAGGGGTTTTCCCAGGAATTAGTATTTGAAAAAAGGATATGGAAAGAGTAGGCCACCATTTTGGTATTTGTAGAATTTAAATAAAACTCATATCTAGATGCTAAAATTACTTCAAGCTAAATTTTGCCAATCACTAAATTATTAAAACTTATTTTTTTCAAAAACAATTACCATATTCTTGGAAAATGTTTATTTAAAACATGTTGACTCTTATGTTTGACTTTAAAATATTTTAAATAATCAGTTTTAAATATGTATCCAGTTGTGGATGCCTCTTATCTGATGAGTTCATCTCCTCCGCAGTTTCGGTGTCTGAACTGCTCAGCTTCGCAAGTCTGCTCTCAGGATGGCCCTTTGTATCAGGTAAGAGGCACTCACGACTGTACATATGACCATCAGAATGCCATTACAGTGATTACTGCCATCCCAAACTCAGGTTCCTAAGACATGTAACTGTACAACTAATAGTTATTTGAATTACAAAACTTATCTTTTCAATTATGTATCCAAAGTTTCTCATTATTTTATTTCTCCTGAATTATCTATTTTATTTTACTGAACTAGAAATGAAATGATAGATGTTAAGGCCACTATTTATGAGTCAGGAATTTTTAATAATTACTAGTTTCAGCCCTTGAGAAATCTCTGATCCATTTTGGATTGGGATGTTACCTTCTTTGTGTGTTTTTGGGTTTTTTAAAAATGATCAGTTATCCACAAGTGAAAGATTAAATGCCAAATTAGATGAATCTAAATAACAACAACAGCTAAATCTAATTGTGAGCTTGCTTACTAGGCCCTGTCCTAAGTACTTTACTTGGCTTAGCTCTTTTAATAATGAAATGATAATGAGTTAATTTAATAATACATTGAGAAAACTTGAAGATGTGTCTGAGGAAAGTTTATTTAATAAAAATACACTTTAAAAATTTGGGAAACAGACTAAATAATGTAGTAAGGATTATTGTCTGATACAGAGATGATTAGTGATCAACCTTAATCCTGTGGATTAATCATAGCATTTCTTTAAAATATTTATTGTTCTTTTATCCAGTAGTTAAGGTATTTATCCTTTTCTCCTTGTAGCTAGAAAAGGAGAATTGTAATTATATAACAAACCTACCTAGCAAACTTCACCTCCGGTGTTACAGTTTTGGGGTTGGGACAGACTGATTGATGAGTATGTTAAGTATTAAAACACTTCAAATCACTAATCAATAAATGTTTAATTAGCAGTTTATCTAGAATTTTCCTCAGTCTTTCTGTCAGTGCTATGATACAGGAATCCCCATGCCTTCATTAAAATGTGTGCTTTTTTTTTTTTTTTTTTTTTTTTTTTTTTTTTTTTTTTTTTTTTT